GAGGTTCCTCTATGAGGGCCATCACACGGAAGCTTGACCTGCTCTTCCGCTTCTGCCCAGGGGCATCGTTTCAATTCCAAGCCCCATTGACCCCATTGCAGCATTAAGGGGCCTGAACATGCTACAGACCCAAGCGTTGAAAGGCCCCCCGAGTCATGACGCAAACCTATCGAACCCGAGAGTTGTCGACCTCCCCCCTACAAGCGGACTTTTTCCAAATTGGGGTTCCTTTTGGGTGCCTCTTGTACTGCAACCTCAACCACTTGAAAGCGGCGCTGGGTGCCTAGGAATGCCCAGGGCGTTCAGCTCCTGGAGCCATGTCGGGTCAGAAGCTTCAAGCTTCTCGAAGGCTTAGCCCTTGTGGGTTAGGGCTTGGAGCTGCAGGTCCCGAATCATCTGTAGCACTTCTCTACACCTCCCCCAACTACCCTGACTGAGGGCTATAAGGCCTCAAAAGTAAGCAGAGCGCCGAAACTCGCCCAGGCGTCTTCCTGCAGAAGGGCGCACAGCTGCCATGGATCTCCAGGCCTCCTCAAGGGAGTTCCTCCTTGTGTCAGCACCTGCGCCGGCATGTGCCCGCCAGAAAAAGGGGCTGGTCGAAGGCGTGCTCTCATTGCTCGCGGCGCAAGACGACGGGCACTAGACGGTCAGCTGGGGAAACTTCGGCTTCAGATTGAAGTTTGAAGCCTTGCCGCGCCTCTGCGTTTTTGTTACACACGCACAGACACAGACACACAGACACACAGACACACAGACACACAGACACACAGACACACAGAGACACAGAGACACAGAGACACAGAGACACAGAGACACAGAGACACAGAGACACAGAGACACAGAGACACAGAGACACAGAGACACACACACACACACACAAAAAAAAAAAAAAAACAAAAAAAAACACAACACAACACAATACAGCACAGCACAGCACAACACAACACAACACAACACAACAAAAAAAGAGAGACTGGACCCCCTAAGCTTCCAAGGTTTGCAGATTGCTGCCCGAACCTCAGGAGCTGAGAAATCCCTGACATGGCATGTCATGGGGGATTGATCCAAATTGGAAGCTTCCAAAGCCAGAGCCCTAAGTAATTAGTGTGCTCTTCGTAGGGGCGTGCTCTTGAAAATAAGGACCCCAGAATATCTTCGACAAACCTTCCAATGAACGTTGCCTGCTGTCTTCCAAAACAGAGAAACCCGGCATCAGCTCCACAACTACCATGTGAAGCGATGGACGCGGAAGGAAAGGCCCGAAATCTTAAAAGGCAACATCTCCGAACAACTTGCCCTACCGAGGTGTCTTGAAGCAGCTGTTCTTTTAATACCCCAAACTTATAAGCCCTGAAGCAACCCGCCGGTCCTGGCAGGGCCACTCTGCTACTCCTGACGCAGCACTAGGGTGCTTTACCGGGTTGATGGTTCAAGGACCCTGAAGCGCTTCAGGGCATAAGGTCTCCACTGAGCGATGTGGGGTGTTTCCGAGGATTACGTTTGGGGGTGGCTGTTTGATGGGGACCCCGCCCTCAACCCTCAACAACCTTGTGCCCTCAAAGCCCTCAGGTTCGCTCAGAACACTGCGGGCCTATGCCAGCAGCAGCCTTGACGGGCATCGGTCCTGAGATGGGTTTGGGGTTTAGGGGCTCGAAGCTTCATCAATAGCGGCTTGAAAGAGGGTTAAATAAGGGGTTTAGGATGATTCGGGGATTGGGGCACACATTCGGGCATGGGCTTAAGGCCTTTTGCTTCTGACCCGTCAAGCCTCTATGCTTAACTCAACGTGCTGTGTCCAGGTTGGGTTCTGAGAGACGCCGGAAGCGTGCTCCGGGAAGGGACACACTCTCGATGTCTCTCCATGTCTCTGTCTCATTCCCTACCTCTCTTCTTTGTCGAACCCGACTTCCTAAAGTATCAGACTCGTGTGTTGCCCTTCCGGGCCCCAGGCGATCTCTAAGCAGCTCGGCAGCTGCCAGGGTGCCTAGGCACGCTGGGGGGTGGGGAGGGGTGGGGGGGGGGGGAGTGATCTAAGGTCGGGCTTCAAGGGCTTCGAATCTCAATCTCCGCACCTTCGGACGGTTTTCTTGGCTCGGCCCGTTTATTAGACAGCACTCATAAAAAAAGGTTACATTACATTACATTACATTACATTGCATTACATTACACTACAGTACATTACATTACACTACACTACAATTGCATTGCCTTACGTGACATTACATTACATATGTATAGTAAGCACAGACACTTTCTCAAGTTAAGGGCTCTATCAGGATAACCCCTGAGACCCATACCCGGAGGTCCCCAAAAATCCCATCTCATGCAACACTCTGCCCGCAACCGAGTCCAGTTTCGGATGGAGGCCCCTTCTTCGAGTTTAAGCGCTGAGCCCCAAACCCTTCGACTTCAGTTTGCGAACCGAGAGAGAACATCAAATCCTAAAGTGCGTGCCCTAAATTGAAGGTTTTGGGGGATCTCACATTCCTAACAGGTAAGGCTTAGGTGCACGTGACTCCGCGGCGCCACAGTTCGAAAGGCGAAGAGACCTTCGAGACACTACGGAGTATAGGGTTGTAGGGCTTCGGGTTTGGGGTCCAGGGTGTGTCGATAGCCGCCGTGTATGAAGCAGGCTTCCCGAGTTTCTTATTGCCGAAACCCCAGCCCCAACTCTTATTCACGAACATGGTGTCGGTCGTTCGACGGCTTGCATCTCTGCATCACTCGGTTACTGGTGACTAGCCTTGTAGAAGTCGAACCTGTCTGGCACAGAAAAGCTGGCCGCTTCGGCTGGGTTTGGCTGGAGGGTGGAACCCTCCTCTCCTTTGGGTTAGGAAGCACGAAAATTGTCCTCCCTTGTTTAAAGAATAGCAGCCCTTCGCTTCAAGACTACAGACTTAATCCCTTGCCCTGAACCCAGGCCCCCAGTCCCTGAACCGATTGACTGCACTGGTGGCCTGGCCTCACCAAACAGGTGCGACACTTCGCGGTTCACGAAGATGGCGCGTGTACCGTCAACGAAAAGCAGTGAAAACCTGAAAGGTGGACTTCGGTTTGTTCGGGGTTTAGCGGTTTTCGGGGATGGGGTTTGAGGCTTTTCTTTTTGTGAGGGATTTCTGGCTTCGGGATGTGGCGCGGGTTGTTCAAGCTAGCTCCGATTCTAAAGCACATTTTGCCATGCCTGCCCACATACCTCCGCAAATGAGGTAATGAAAGCAAGCTTTGGTTCTAGGAGTGCTAGGCATAAAACCCAAACGAACACAGCAAGGCTACTCATCACTGCAGCTTGGCCGAAGAGGGCGCTACCTCCAAAACCCCCGCTGAAGGGACTGCTTCCCTAAACTTAGGCCCTAAACTTTCAACTCTATGGCACCCAAGTCGAAAGCCCTGAACCCCTAAAGCCCTGCAATCCCCAGCCCCAAAAGGCCTAACCCCAAAGCGTAAACAGCGAAACTAAACCCTAAGCAACGCAAACTAAAAGAACCCTACATCCTAGAGCCTGAAACACGAAACTCTAAAACACCGTCCAAAACCCTAAAGTGTGAAACCTTAAACCTGAAGTGACCCAAGAGAAGCACCAAGGCGCTGTGGCGCAAGCAGGTCCATCGTAGCCTGAAGTCGCTTTTGTTCTCCACGGCTTAGGGTTGGGGTTTAGGGTGGAGGTCCAAGACACAATCAGTTTAGGATTGAGGGCTTTGAGCTGGTGCCCTTGACCCATCATACCAACCCCAAACTCCTCCATAAAAGTGCTGCTCAACCCTCAACCCCAAGGCTTCAGGGCACGGGGTGGTTAGGGCTTTGCCCCAGACCCCTGGCCTCCCGTCCAGACCCCTACCGTCTTCGTGTTTAAGCCCAAGAGCTGCTTCTGGAGCTCATGGTGCGTAGGAAGTTTCGGATACATCCCTAAACCTTCCCCCCCTAAACCCTAAAACCCTAAGCCCCCCCCTGCCCCTCAAACTAAAACCTTAAAACCCTGCACCCTAAACCCTGAGACCCTGACCCAGGCGCGCCTGCAACGAGCAGTGTTTTGCCAGCCTATGCAGTGCGCTGGCCTCATCCGACCTGGGTTTCGGGCCGGAGGGAAGGGATTTAGGGTTTATGGGGTTTGTGAGGTTTACAGGGTTTCCAAGGTTCTGTAAGGACGGCCTATACTTGGTGTTCTTCTTCACTTGACGATGCTGTGGATCTAACAACTCAAAGGCCTCCGCAAAAACAGCCAAAATCTGAACTGGCCTCATGCCCAGCTCCACCTCACACGTTCGACTCACGATAACACAGGGGCCCAGAGAGAATATTCGGGTACGTTATACGTTGGCAGTTACTTCAGATTCAGCTCCTGCCTGAAACCCCAAGCCCTGTGGGGCCCCAGGCTTGCCAGTGCCGAGTTTGGCCGACGCCAGGGCATAGTTTGGGATCATGCGTATTGGAGGGGCCAGCCTCAGCTACTGGAACCAGGCACCAGTTTCGAGTTCACCGTGTAGGGCTGCTGGTTAACGGATCTTCGGTGTGGTGATGGGCTTTCGGGGCTTAGGGTCTTTGGGGTTTCACTTTAGTGTTCCTTTTTTGGAGGCAGTGTTGTGCAAGGGAGGGGCCTTCAAGCCCAACGTAAGCCTTAGCAAGGGCGTTATTTTAGGGCCTTTAGGTCTACGCTGGAGGTTGGGTCTTAGGGCGGTTGCGCAAGGGACTTGCAATGAACTCTGCAGCGCTTCTATTTCTGTGTCCAAGGCACAATGAGTTGATGGTCAGCACAACCACCTGCGACAGTTGACAACTGACGCACGTTTGATACAGGCACTGCAATCTCCAGAGCCCAGCACAACTGGACAGCGGCTCTTCTGTCTCTGCAGCGCAAGCTCAGCTGAGAGCTCTGCGACCTGTATAGGCTCCTGTACATCTTCAGCCCCGAGCGCTCCAGCGAGCGTGGACGGGCATGGAGAGTGTGGCGTGAGGGAGGCGGCCTGCATTGCCCCCCTTCTCCCCCCACGCAACTCCCGAGGCCCTCAAACCTTTCCGTACTCCTCCTGCACCATCTCTTCGAGCTTTTGGGTGTCGGGCCACAAGACAGCCAAAGCCACCTTGAGGTTGTAGTTGCAGCGGCTTATCCACTCCTCATTGTAAGGGTTCTCCCCCAACCGCTTCTCATAGCGTGCCTGTAGCTCCTTCGGCCTCACCGGTTTGGGCACCTTCCACCGGGTGTAAGGATAATGGAGGAACTCGAAGGCAACCTCCTTGGTGTCCTCCTCGGCATCCCAAATGGCCTCATCCAGCTTCTGGCCACCAATCGCTGCAGAAAGGCCACCTGCGATGCCCCCAACCAAGCCGCCGATGACAGTCCCGACAGGGCCCACCAAGGACCCGACAGCCGCGCCTGCGGCGGCACCCCCAAGGCCTCCAGCTCCGCCCGCCAAGCTGCCAGCCGCATTCTTGCGCAGCTCTACTACGGTGCAGCGGCCACGGGCCAGCTTGATGGCATCCCAGGTGATGAACAAACCTGCGCCTACCACCGCGACTCCACCGCCACCCGCCGCCCTTGCAAGAGCACCTTGGCTCGCAAGCGCCCTCATCACCGCGACGCCGGAGGCGCCCTCCACTGCACAAAGGGCTGTGGGCACCAGAATGTCCTCAGCCTTCTGCGCAGCTGTGCGTCCTTCAGGCCTGGCTAGCACAAAGCCCAGTGAACAAACAAAGCCGAATGCAGCACCGAACGCAGCACCAACCCTGATCTCGTGAGCGGCAGACGGCCGTTTCGTGAAGGGCCCCGCGCCATGGGGAAGGGCATCGTCCATGCTGAAGGCCCTGCCCAAGCGCATCTCCATCTGCTCCCCATTGACAGTTGGGATCATGTATGCATCCAGGGATGCGGCACGTTGCGAACGCGGGTTTACCTGAAGTCCCTTGCCCTGTTGGCCGTAGTAGCCGCACTTCGCGCGGATGCCTCGGGCACGGACCTCGAATCCATGATCTTGGCCGAACAAGGAGTTAGCCGCAAGGTTGCGGCGACTGGAGTCACTCCCAAGGAGGTCTTCGAGCAAGATCTTGATCTGCTCAGCGCGGTGAGCCGAAGAGTTCCGGAGCGGATGCCTCCCCTGCCAGGCATCCACAAGGTACACTTGCCCATCCTCGTGCGGCTGCAACATGAACCAGTGGTCCGTACCGGCATTCTGCTGCACCTGGACAATGACGGGGCGCCTCTCTTTCAAAGCCTGCAGAATCCGGGTTGGGGTAAGGTCGGCGTTGACCAGCTGCTTCACGTTGCCTGAGCCCCCCAGACAGTGTGAGAGTGCGTCAGCCCACTTCGCGCAAGACTTGAAGAAGGACCGAATCTCGCACCTTAATTCGGCCAGCGTTCTGGCGTCGCAGAGATTGTGCTTCTCAATGACTGCATGCGCTGCATGCAAATAGGTCCTTGGCTTCCACACTGTCGACATATTTGTTGACCGGTTGCACCCTGAACCGCCGAACCCACAAATCCCAAAGAGCAGCCATGACTCTCCACCCAGTTTTCAGGCAGGCGCTGCATTGGCTGGTAGGCCAGCATGGCAGGGATCAGCTCCTGCGCCAAAAGGGGGGTGGGAAACCTGAGAGCCTGAGGGCCTGTGGCCGGGTAAGCTCCTTTAAGATCACTTCTTATACGATACATCACCGCCGACTTCTTTGCAGTGAGCCTCAAGCCCTAAACATCCACACGCTGAAGCGGGCTCCTCCACAGGTGACGCCATGGGTCGGATGGCAAGGCCGCTAACGGCCGACACTTAAGGGGGATCTGAGGGTGTGTGTAAGGTTTGTGGGAGCCCAGTTTCTCCAAGCTGTTACGCCACCCAAAACCCTAGACCCACCTATCGGCCCTACACGGCTCCTTCCCTCACAGTGGCCAAGATCTATCCCACGAAGAATGTTGAGGTTCCAGGGTGTACAGGGCGAGCTGGGGGGAGGGGGGCGGAAGGTTCAAGCCCGTCTAGGAGCCAAGCAAATCAAAGCCAAAGTGCCTCGTGGTATCCTCATGCTAAGCTGCCAAAGGGCCCTGTCAACACTGTCAACCCTATCAACGTGTGTGTGTGTGTGTGTAACACGTTTAGGGTTCCCAAGTGGCCCAAGTGTGTCCAGGTACTGCACACACAAACTAGAGATAGCATCCCTTGGATGGATTTAGGGTCGAGAGCATATTTGCCATCCCCGAAAATGCCCAAAGCCAGGGTTCTATAGTTTAGCAAACGAATGGAAATTCAGCATCATTCCACGTCGGTGCTCACATAAGGATGGGTTCACAGGCAGCAACCTAAGAAAAAAAACAAACGGGAGTTGAGTAGGGTTTGGGCTGTCCTTGCTTGATGCGTTTGAAGGAACCCAGCCCTCAAAGAACAGGAGGAAGGGACTAAACCCTACAAACTCCTAAACCCACTCAACCCACTAAACCATCTCCCAAGCCCTTAAAACCCGAATCCGCGCGCCTTGGGCGCCTCCGTCCGGAACTCGAGGCTTTGCTTGAGCTCCGCGCAGTTTCCTGTTGAACTGGCAAGGTTCGGCGGTCCATTTTTCCAGTGGAGGCGTGAAGCCCTCATTTCCGCCCCCTCCCCCCCCCCCCCCGAGCCCGAAGGGTTTAGTTTAGGGTTTGGAAGTGTTTTGGCGTTCAAAGTGTAGGGTAGGGAGTTAGAAGGGCTTAGCCACTCTTTTACCCCTGTTTTTGGATTCAGGGGCTCAGGGTTTTGTTTTGGATTCAGGGGCTCAGGGCTTTAGTGTCTTCATAAGATTTGGTGACCCTAAGGCCCACCCTAACTATCATTCTCCGTTTTGTGGTTCTTCATCCATTATGACTCATCTTGTTAGTTCTTGTTTGAGGGAGGGCGGGGCTGGGGTAACCAAACAATCCTTCCCAGTCGGGCCTGCCCTGGAGGAGAGGAACAGCGCGTCGATGCTGCGCTCTGCGAGAAGCGCCTGGCTCGGAGTTCCATGACTTGGCTTTATAGGGCTCATGGCAGTTTAGGGCCTAGGGCTTAGGGTTTTTGGTGTAGGGTTAAACCAAAAAAGCCCCGGAACCGAATCACGAACCGGGAGCCGGAACAAACCCCTTGCGCCCCATAGTTATCGGGCACCCGGGATCCGTGCGAACATAGGAGCCCCCGAAAAAGTATCATAACTTAGTGAAAGTCCCATAGTAGCTGTGCTGTCAGGCACGCCTCTGTCTCTGGTGCATTGAACTTGATGCTGCCTCACAGTCTGGGGGAGTGTAGGGTTTGGAGTCTGGAGGCATTTTTGGCTTAACGGTACACCTCTAAACTCCAGACTCCCGCTCCTGCGAACCCTTGGCCCCCAAAGACGCAGCACAGAGCGTTGCACCCTAACTCATAAAGCCTAAAGCCCTTAAGCCAAATCCGAAAAGGCCGCGGAAAAGGCCAAGGGGCGGCGCATGGACCCCGCGCGCGCGAAGAAGGTCACGCCGTGTAGGCAGGGAAGCTGCGCGTTGCTATTTGGTGGGGGGGGGGGGTAAAGGGTTGAATACTCGTTTAGGTTCTTTTGATTATGCTGGCGAGGGCAGAGGGTTTCAAGGTTGAAAGGGCGTAGAATTTGGGTGCAGGCTGGGAAGTGTAGCTAGGGCATAGCATTGCTTTTTCTTCTGGGCTTTCTAGTTTGGACGCCTCAGAGCCTGTGAGTGAGTGAGGGCTTTCTAGAGGCTTCATCCGCCTTGTGAATTATTCGGGAGTAGGGCTTGCGACATAGGGATCCCGACCTGAAAAGAGCAGCAAGGTACCATCTCAGATGGCCTGCGCTAGAGAATGTTCCTTCCAGCTTAGGGTACCACGTTGGCGCACAACTTAGATACACAACCCCCTCCCCCACCCCCCCCCCCTTGTAAACAGAAAAAACAAAACAACCTGTTCTGTCGGTAAAAGACAGTGACGAGAAAGGCTTCCCACATTCGTAATCACGAAGAAGAGCATGGCCTGAATATGCATACCCCTGATATTTGCGGTTCTTTGAGTGATGCGCAAAGGAATTGTTCCAACTCTCTCGCCGACGCACCCACATCAAGGTTTAAGCACAGGAGCCCAGATGGCTGCCATCATTGTACCTCAGAACCCTTGAATAATTTTCACAACAGAGTTACAAGGTATACATTCTTGCAACATATGGGGCTTGAAAGTTCAGGGGCGGATGTTGTTCATGGGCACGTGCAACCCCTGAGGTTTTAACAAAAGCCTCCGATCGATCCTCAAGCGTTCCGGCTTTTGCTGCGGCCCAAGCATCCCGAAGACCCTCAGAATGCCAAACCCCTTACAATGTCTGCCTCACCAACGCAGTTCAAGGTGTCCCGCTTCATGACGAGGGTATCCCACTCCTCAATGCCCAGTGCGCAGCTCGGGTCCTGGTGGGCATAGGCTCCGAGGGCTTTGGGTTGAGGGCTTTAGGGGCAAAAATCAGGATTTGGCTTGCAGTTTGGGTTTTGAAGCCCATACATCAAAAAGCACATCATACAACTGCAAAGCCTCCTCCAAGCTAGGGGACACCTGAGACCCTCAACCTTACACCGACTCGGGCAGCCAGGACTTGCAACTCACAACCGTTAGCCTGCCTGAAAAGTCCCCATGTCGTCGCCCAGCTGGCAGCCATCCGCTGGAAATGACCTCAGAGAGCACCGGCAAAGTAGCTGCATTAATTGGCAGGGCTGCGGGGAATCAACTTCCACCTATTCAAGACACCAAAGCCCCCAACAACCCCAACAAAAATCCCTAGACGCCCACAACCCTAAACCCCTCCCAAAGCCCAACAGCCATAAGCCCGGAGCGTTGCATGTTTTTTCGGCTCTGGCATTTTGCGGGGTTCAGACTTTTCGCATTCTTGGGCTTTAGGGGTGTGCGGGGTTAGCAACCCCCCCGCAAAGCTGAAAGGTTTGCAGTTGATCGTAACTCAACAATGACCCCACGGCTCCCATTTTTTTAAAGTTTTTTAGAGGCAAAGCACATCCAACCCAAGACCCAACGCTGAACCCTGGACCTGCAACCTCCCATCGAAGGTACCTGTGGCCTAGGCTTTGGGGCTCAGGCTTTGTGCACCAGCACCCCCCCCCCCACCCCCCCCCCACCCCCCCCCCCCCCCCCCCCCCCCCCCGTAAGATGGACACTTAAAGGCTATGCTGCACGTGCGTGCCTTGTAAACAAATACTTTACAAAGGAAACACCCGCAGAATAGACGCAACGCACCCGCAGAATAGACGCAATGCACCCTTAGCATCAGCACACTGTGTCCCGGGCGGGGGCGCGGAGGGCGCGGAGGGCGCGGAGGGCGCGGAGGGCGCGGAATGGCGCACGTGTCCCCTCCCCCAACCGCTCCCCACCCGCGCTCCCCCCCCCCCGCCCCGTCAACCCCACATGGTCCACGCCTCCCCACGCCACGCCCCTCTCCCAGCAAAATGTTCCGAACCCCCCCTTGACCATGTCGCGGCCTCCCGTCAAGATTCATTCCGTCCGACCCTCCTCCGTTGACCGTCTCCTCTTCGTGGCCTCTTTCGCCAAAAAGCGATCCGATAGACCGCGCCTTCCGCGTTGAAGCGCCAAACAAGAACCCAATTTCAGACTTGGCTTTCGGGAAGAATCCAAGAAAACAAAGACCACGCGCAGAATAGACGTTAAGCGTCCAAGGCACCCCCCCCCAAGCCGAAAACAAAACCCGAAAAGGCTTCGCCAACAAGAGCCCCTAACAAGCCTAGCCGAAAACCCAAACCCCTGAACCCCCAAATGCTTAAGTCTCAAGAGCCCCAAACCCCCATGCTATAGGGGCCTTAATAAAATAGAAATTAGGGTTTTGGGGGGGTTGCTATAGTATAAGTATAAAAGGGACCATAAGGAAATACTGTTAGTCATCATTCTTCTGACCCCCTTACCCAAATCGCGCATCTGGGGCCGCAGCTCGCTGCGCACTGCGAGGTTGAGAAACGAGGGCCGTGGGAGCCGGCGACTTGGCAGTCTTCAGGGTTTACAGGGTTTACAGGGTTCAGGGTTCAGGGTTTAGTGTTCAGGGTTCGGGGTGAATGGTTTGAAGTTCAGGGTTTAGGATCTGGAGTTTAGGGTTTAACATTCAGGGTTTCGGGTGAGGGCTTTCTTGAGGGCTCAGGGGGGATTCTTTAGGGCCAGTGGAACCCCTCGACGCAACCAGAAATCCGAACCCTGAAGTGACGAAACCTCTCAAGCCCCGCAAAACCCTACAGCCCTACACCAACTTCACGAGTTCGCAAGCTGACACTGATAAGCACTGCCAAGCAAACCCCGACACGTCACAAACGAGGTTCCCTCGCTGGTGGATTTCAGGCTCCGCTGAGGCGTAAGGGTTTAAGGCTTCGTGGGGCTTAGGGTTTTCGGGCTGAGTAGTTTACAGGTTTAGTAGGGTGACTCCGGGTAGCGTCTGAGCCACTAAAAGCCCTAAAACCCCAAAACCCCGAAACCCTACAACGCCTAAACCCCAAAACCCCCCAAACCCGCAAAACCACTTCCCTCCTTAAACCCCAAACCCCTCAAAAACCGAGGCGCAGGAGGGGCCGCAGCCAATGGAGCGGCTCCTGGGGCCTTACCACGCCTCTTTCCGGGCTTCGAGGGCTTAGGATGTAGGGCTTGGGGTTTAGCTCCTGGTGTTGGCGTAGGGTTCGTGAGTAGTGAAAACCCTACACGGGGTTATAGTGTGGGGTATAAGTCTACACACATGAGACTCTAAACTTCTAAAAGCCACACCA